CAGGATTGGGAGAGAGGAAGAAATAAAACAGGAAAAAAAATTATCTTTTCAAATAAAAGCAGAATATGGAAGAAAAAAAATTTAAGGGATTTAAGCAGTCAGAGTTGTTACTTCCCAATCACAGTTAAACTAGTTTTATCTTAATCTTCAATTACACAAAAAAGATCTCTTTTGTCTGCCTGCCTTGTCCGCCACTCATAGCTACATCTAACACAAGTCACTCTTAAAGGTAAGTATTTTTTACACTTAAACCGAACACTCATCAATTACTACCTTACACAAAAAAGATCTCTTTTGCCTGCCTGCCTTGTCCGCCACTCATAACTACATCTAACACAAGTCATTCTTAAACGTATTTTTTACACTTAAACCGAACACTCATTTCTGAATCAATCTTCCATAGCCACATCCAAACCGCTTCTTTTTCTCCATATGTCTCCTATCACCATACTCTAACACCTCTCGTATGTACCAAATCCAACTCATTCACCTCAGCATGAGCACCCAGGACCATAGCAGTCACTTGGGGAAAAAACCAACCAAACAAAAACAAAACCAAAAAAACAATAAAGCAAAAAGAAACACCAAGCAAGCAGGCAGACTGAATTAATACCACTGTACCTACCATCCCTCTTGAGATGCCAAAGCAAACCCTCCCACCCCAGCTTTTAAAGCCTGGTTCTGCAAAGGGAGTTCCCAATTAGAGGTCTCCAATTAGCCCTTTTGCCTGCCAAACACCTGCAAAGCCAGGGGGTAGCTGCCTGTGGTAGGTTAGTCACATACCGCCCCAGGCAATTCTTGCTACCACCGGGTAGTATTTTTGAGATGGTCGCTTGCAAAAGCACTTCCAGCATGGCTTAAGAATGCCAGCATCTTTCTGGAAATAAAGCTGGATTTTTCTTGTAAAGCACTCGGATTAATAACTGCAAAATACATGACAACTACTGTTAACAGACTTAGGGGTATAATATAAAGATGTCTTCAAATTACAAAAAAGCTTGCTCACTGTCATGGTCCCCCAGCACTGGAAATAGTCTCTAATCCATTTCTGCCAGTTTTACAATTTTAAAGGAGTGTCAGCTATTTCTTCAGGATTTATGGCCTGGAGCACCACTAAGGAGCACGAGGGGATAGAGCTGGGAGGCAGAGGGTAGTTCCAGGTGACTTGGGTGTGCATCCTTAGCATGGAGCTGGGGGAGGGAAAGGGGTCAGGAGGTCAGGTAGCGCTTTTGAACAGATCCGAGTTTTGAAATACTCTCTCAATGATATCTTTGGCTCCATTATTTTTATTTTGAATCAATACCTTGTAAGTCTGGATAATGTAACTATATTGATTCAGAAGGGTTTTTTTGTTTTGTTTTCTCAATAGCTTATGCATAGAGGATTTAGAATTTCATTATTACACCATTAATGTTTGGAAAAAGAAATCACAACCCTGTTGGAGTTTGGAGTAAACTGAAAAGAGAGAGAGAGAAAATCCTGACTATCTTTCCACATAGAACAAAAGTGAATTAACAATTGCTAATTAAGAACAATTATTAGTGGATAAACTAAATAGTAACTTGCATAAAAGGGATTATTACTGTGACACAATATTAAGAGAAAAAGAAACTTTAACAACTGAACGCTTACTTTGTCTTTACCCGTGCCTCATCTCTTCCACATGAAGATTCACAAACATGGTCCCAGGGAAGTGGTGGAGGGTGCCAGAAAAAGATCCAGCAGCAGTTTGGCTTTTTCAAGCTAAGTTTTCGATTTTTTTATTTAATAAAAATATGCCTGATGTGACTACTGTAATATGAGTATTTACCTGTGTGCTTAGAATGGAACTCTTCATGCTAAAGAGTATATGCCTGTTTGCTTGTTTGTTGGCATGAACAAACTGTTTTTAATGGAGAAAATCTCAATTTTCTTCCAAAATAAAGAAGCCAAATAAACCAGAAGAACATCCCTTAAATACCAAAGATTTACAAATAGTTATTGTCTATGTATCTTCTGACATAAAATTTGGAGTAAGATTGTTCCTCTAATACCTGAACTTTCAATCTAAATAGCTTTCATTTTACAGAACTGTTCCTGCAAAACTTCACTTGAAATAATTTTCAGAATAACTTTTTAACATTTGTAATCCAAAAATAACGCAGAAAATCTACTTGAACCTGGCTGTTAAGCAATATAATAGCTAGCTTTAATTTAATTGTTTAGAACTTATTAAAATTATAAACAACCAATAGTTAGAATTGAATTATTTTCTCAATGTCTTTCTATTTTCAGTATCTATATTGCCAACCCATAAATAAGACTGTATGAGCAGAGCAGCAGAGCTGTAAACACAGATTTTTAAAAGTTATTTTCCTTTCCTGTATAGGGCTTTCTATGTTGTGCTGCATGCTCTCAACAGTAAATGGAAACTCAGGCTACTTTAAGTTCGCATTTTTCAGTCCTTAAACAAGAACTCTCGTCTCCAGAACCTCTATAAATTGCTATCTGTAATGTATCAGAAGTGTATTCAGTTCAAATTTCCTACAAAAGGGTTTCAAGCCTTTCCCATTAATTAAATCAGTTGCTAGGGAATACCTCTTTTGTACACATCACTACATAAAACATCATTATTTAGTTAGTAACACACCTAAGAAAACAATCAGCTGCCAGCAATAGTAATCCTTCTTTTTGTAAGATGTATCAGAGGAGACAAGAGGAAGTGCTATTTGTCTCCATAAAAGAGCGTTCTTTTTATAAATGGTTCAAGAATTGTCACAATAAAATCCAGTAGTCATTTTACTTTCTGAAAGGCTTTAAAGAGACCAACTGAGGAATTTTCCTCCTTGCTCCCTGAACCAAGAATAGAACAGAGAGCATCCTGTCCCGCTCAGTGGCTGAGAAGCAAAGAGCAAGCTATTGCAGTATCATTTAAGTGCTCATCTATGCTGGCGTTTCCCTTGCGATAAAACCAGGTTCTTCTCCCCAAGCACTTGAACATAAACTCAGTGATGGTTTCTTCTTCATTCCTCTAAAATGCTTACCTCAAGCATAATTTCTCTTCACTAGGAAAGGCTAGAAAAGCTTCAAGAATCATGTTTGAAGCTACAGTTTTAGTGTCTTAAAATTCTGCTACTACCTGCTGGGCAGAATACAGCATTTTGGAGGAAAGAAGGTAGATTTATCGCTGATTTTTTGACAGTGGATCCTTGCCTTTGTAGTTAAAGCATCTCTTTCACAGACAGCCTTTACATTCATTGGAAGAGTACTGCCAAAGGAATACAGGGAAGTAGTTGAATGCCAAGCCACAAGAAGTAAGTTTCAGTAAATGTTTCAGGAATAAACCAACCACTTATTTGGCAATAAACAAACCAACTCCACAACTTTGCCCTATTATCTTAAAAAAAATATTTTTTTTGTTTTCCTTCTGTATGTCAGTATTAAGTTCTCTATAACAGTTAAGTTTTTAGAGCAATATATACATTTGATAATAAAGCACAGGAAAAATAGGATGTATTTCAATGTGCTGATTATACTAATCTGTGGAAAACAGCACAAATTCAGAGAACTGAAATTCATGTAAATATGCTGGATACAAATGAAAAATTGTCCTAAAATACTCCAGTGAAAATAATTTTTTAGTTTTCACACTTTAAACAAAATTTTGTTTGTAAAAAGACAAACCGCTTTTGGGGAATTTTTAAAAATTTGGTTTGAAATTTATATCAACTTCTTTGATTGATACACCAACATGGAGAATGTACTAAATAGTCACTTCAGGATAATTCACAAATATTAAAGATCCCTTTTTAAAAGTAACTTGGCTTCCTCAAAATCTGTGAGCTCTTAGGTGAGCGCACAACAAAGGAGGAGACTCTCTTCCAATATTTTGCATCTCTTATTTGAAAGGTTTGTCACACTGCAATTCTCATCACTTTTCCTATTATTTTTTCTGATTTGCAGTATTAAAAAACTCAGAGGTTTAATTTCAGACTATGTTCGCTCTTTTTGAAAGTCCCCAGCATTCAGAACATTCCATGTCTGGCAATAAATTAACTTCCACCGTACTTTGTTTGAATATATACATGTACATTAAGAACTACATCAGGAAGGTGACAGTGGCAAGTGCTCCTCCTTTTAGATACACGATGAGCAAGAAACACTAGTTCATCAGTATAAACCATCATTACCGCCAAGAGGCAATCCTGATACCCTCTTTGTTCCTTCTGTCCTCCCAACTATGAGAAGCATTAACAGCCATAGCCAAGTGAAGGAGGACACAAGGACCAGGACATGCAGCCGCAGAGGCCACTTCTTCAGCAGAGGTGCTGACTGAAGCTGCTACACACTGCTTGCTAGCTTTCCTGGTTGACGTAAATCAGGAAGACTTGCAGGTAGACTCATATCCATATTCATGCTGGTAAATCTGTCTAAATTTCTCTGTTCCCATGGGAAATCTCCTATTTCTTAAATGTTTTCCCAGACTGTTTTGGAGAACATCTGTCCCATTCCTTGCTATGGAAGGCCCCCTCTAATATCAGTTGTCCCAGTTGCCTCTGGAACAAGTGTGTTCATCCATCCTGCTGAGCACATCCCAATAAAAATCAAGCAGTTGCTTCGCAGACAGTCTTTCTTTACCTAAAGCTTTTACTTTTCTTACTGACTTATGCTTAACACACTGAAAAGATTTCTTTTTATTCTTCCAGTTAGCTGCATTATAAGCAGTTATTAAGATGTTTTATAATACAGAATTGCATATGGGGTATATTAATGGCACTCAAAAGAAGATCTACAGCCCAACTGACAGATAAAGAACCATCAGTTTTCAAAGTAGCTGCTCACAGTCCTAGAAAGGACCAAGCTTACCTTACACATTAAGCACGCATTTAGCAAAAAGCTGTAAAACAGAACGGCCATTTCCTTCAGGCACTCACAGAAACTGACACCAGAAGGTGTATTTGAGTCCTACACAGATTAGGTAACTATCACAGTACCTCAAAAAAAGACATAGCATGACTATCTTTTGGTTTAAAAATGTTTATTTAAAAGAAAAGGAGATCTATATCCAGATAGCGAGGAGAAAGAAAAAAAAAAAAAAATTCCTCAGTTTCCCCCCCCCCAAAACCACTACTCTGCAATTTACATTTACCCTAAGTTTCAGCTTCAATGTTTTATTTAAAAAAAACCCTGAACTTTCATTTCCTTTTCCTATGCTGTTAGACCTGAGGAAATTAAGTACCTTTCACTGAAGGGTTGCACGGGATGTGAGAAGAAACAGCAATAAAATTTATTCACAATATACAAGTATAAAAATATCTTGCTTAGGATTCAGTATTATAATTTAATAACTTTTTGTTGTTTCATAGGTATCTGGGAAAGGTACAGACACATGTCCTGATCCTGTTACAAGAGGTAGAATGCCAGCATTTGGTACAACGTTCCAGGAGAGAGTCAAAGTGACATTCCTGTTTCCCCTGCAAAAGCAACACAGACTGTCAGCATAAATTCTCAAGTTAACCAATTTAATTAATAATCACTAATATTAAATAAATTATGATACAAATTGTTTTCCTGGTCCAGGAAATGAGCTTTTTAATTTTATGTAGTTACTTCATGAAATATTACCTATTTTCCAGAAAATATTTCTTTTTTGTTACCTATCTCCTTTGGAGTTGAATGCATCACAGAACCAATTCTACACAGACAAGAATATTCGAAGCAGAAACCCAGAAGCCTATTGCTCATATTAGCAGTGCATATTCTAGTCTGCAGAAAAAACAAGTTATCTTGTATCCCAAGGTCATCTTCTAACAATCAAACTACAAAGACGCAACAGACTGACAAAATATCAGACAGAATATAGGTACCTTACCACAGCAGTAAAAACACATATAAAATGCAAAGCATGCAAGTAAATCAAAACACCATGAATAACAATAATAAAAAAAGGATTTACTTACTTGAGACCATTTCCATCATCAAAGAAAAAGTACTTCGACTTCATGTCTTTTAAGAACAGCCTTGGGTTATCTCCTCTCAACATGATCTTGTCCCAAAGGACCACCTGGTTTAGAGCCTAAAAATACAATTGTAATTAAGTCAGCAAGGTACCTTACAAGATCATGTTCAAGTCACTGGAATTTCATAGCATTATTCATCTAAAAACCCTGAAGTTGAAGTACATGCTTGCAATCCATAACTAATTTAACAAACTAATGCTTTACCAGGGGAAACTAGTACTACTACACACTGTAGTGTGGCACAGAATAAATAGAAACAACAAAAAACAGCTCAATAAAACATGAGAAAGCCATTTTGAAAAGACATAGGCTTCCAAAGACTTACAAAGTATGATGGGTTTTCCTTTGGAATTGCAAAGGTAAGTTGCTTTTAAAGAAGTATTTAGACTTTGTTTCAAATAAAGGGCTTAAATTGAGCTATCATGACACTGCCTAGGTATTTAACATTTTTTCAACTTAAATGGAAAAAAATCTCTACTTGAATTGCAAGTGTAATTGTGTGAACAACTCAAGATGGATCCCAAATTCTTAAATATTTGAAACTTCATACTGTTCTTTTAAGTAGTCAGGTGCTAAACAGTCTTGTTTAGTACCTTATAGAACAATTTAGAAACAATATTTGAGAGAACTAGTGATTTATGTGAAAAAAAATCTAAAAGATGAAAGAAGACAATGAAGTCCCAGATCCTAATAAAGAACTCTAGTAAGAATAAAATACCCTAATAAAGTACACTGCTGAAGAACTCTAGTAGAATAAAGTACAAACACAATATCCACCAGCATGTATAAAAGAACTAAGGCACTTCAAAAAAAAAAAAAAGAAAAAAAAAAAAAAAAAAAAAAAAAGAGAGAGAGAGTTTTGTGTAGCAAGTTAAGAAAAAACCCCAGGCCTTCACTATATCCTTGCAATGCGACCACAGTAGCTTAAATTAGAATTCAGTGGTACCATGGCAGTACGGTGTTTCATTAATTTTTCCACAGGCTGTTCCACACAGCTTCTACCAGATCACTGAAAAAAGCCCTCAGCTATCCAAACTGAAATACCAGTAGCAATGAATTTGAAGGACACAGCAAGGTCAATTGTTTTGAGAAGTATGACAAGATAACATAAATGTATTATAAGGCTACAGCAACTGGTATGGGCAAACACTTCTGTGATCTATGAACAAAAGACCCACCACACCTGGCCAGACCAAAGGCCACTATATCTTGTTTCTAACAGTAGTCAACTGCAGAACGTTAGGGAACAGTAAAACGGACAGAGTAAGTAAGTGAAAAAGCTCATTTACAGCAAACTACTGTAAGTGAACAAGGCATGCGCTACTTTTCTCCCATTCTGTTGGGCACATATCAAGTTAGGTTTCATGAGGGTGAACTTCCCACCCTACAGTTAAACTGTCAAGAAAATAACAATCATGAAGGCCAGTAAAAACAGTCCAAGCTAGTAGGAAACACTGGTGCCTTAACTCTTCCCAGCAGAACTTCAGAATGTTATAAATAGTTGCAGTCCAAAATGAGTAATCGCCTAAAGTTACTTTTTAATACTTACATTGTTTTTCGTTGAATATTCTGCAGACAAATATAGAAACAATTGTTTAACATTCCAGTCAAATATACTCTGCAGATGTATGTGAGTTAAGAAAAATACCATATTGTACTTACATAACCTTGTTTTATTTTTACTAGATTTAACTAGACTATGATAATTAAAGTGAGTTCTTACCTTTCAACATACCTCACCTTACTTATAAATTAGAGCACTTCCAGGAGTTCTAACACATATTTTAATCATATTAAAGTGACATGGTTTTGGTTTGTTTTTTGTTTTGCTTGTTTGGTTGTTTTTTTACTATTTATGAAATCTAATGGCTATTTCCTACAATGATTTAAGAGTTCTACATTTGACACGGCAAGCTAGTAATCATGATCTGCTGCTAGACAATCTATTATGAAACCTTAAACATAAAAGGCAAGACAGAATTTCTCAGTAAATATCTTCAAAGCAATTATTTATACTATCAAAGAACCCTGGTATCCAACCGTGGATTGAGATACAATAGCCTTAAAAAAATACATAAATACAAAATTGGCGGAGTATAGAGAGTTCCAAGAGCCTGTAATACCCACATTAGAGCAGTTAGTAGATGGGAAGTACTTCATCTCGGAAGGGACACCAGGAATTAGCAAATTTAATTACCTCCTTACTACAAAGAAAGCTTGTTAGACTGGAACAAAACTCTGTGCAGATTTTTGATCAACAGCAAAGAACTGATGACTGGTATTGACACTGTCAGTATAATAAAGCTGTTATTCTAAACACTTGTCTGTTTACTTAGCAATAAAATGCACCACGTGTGACTGCTAAGGAAAAGACCTTTTAAGTCACAATAAAGTTTAGCTGTAAGCTTCTATTTCCCAGTCCTCTTGCTTTTTCTATTTGCCACTGTCTCAAACAATAAATTAAACGGATTCCCCAACCAGAATCCCAAGAACAAATCATGTTTTTAAGCTGCTAATTCAAAAGGCAAGTAAGGAAAGAATTAAATAATTAGCCACTGTTGCTGCAAGAATAAATGGAGCTATTTTACTTAAACATTTTTCACCATCTAACTCAAAACAACAAACAAGATTCTGAAAATCTCCTTTGTGGGATTTCTTAATGCTTGCTAAAAAGTAAGCTAAAAAGAGTTTGTGAAACCTGTCTCCTTCCCTTTCCCTAGTTTCTTTTTCTAACTGTCATTTTATTTAATTCTTCCTAGGACTAGCAACTTGTTTCCGTTAGTTAAGATAGCCCATGTACCAGTATCGCTTTACAAATTTTGTCAAAAAACAACCTACCAGAAAGTTGTATTTTACAACATTACACACTGCAAGGTTTATTTATGCCAGGCATTAAAGACTAAATCAGAGTTTTTATTAAAAAAATTTAAAACTACTGCTAGTATTAAAAGTCACTAAACCATGGAATCTTTATGTCCACATACTGCAGAGTAATCCTTGTATAAAAACATTTCTTTTAGAGGTCCTGTCTTGCCTTGCTCTGCCTCCCCCTATATACACTGCACACAATTCAATTCATCTACTTTGGAATTTTAGTCTCTGGTTTTAGTATGTATAAGCATTTCAGAGGTAAAACTCAGGCTTAGGAGTTCACCTCTCCTGCTTCCAGCTGATAAAAAAAATCCCTCTTATTCCTGTGCAACACACACCTGCAAAAATCTGATTAACCTGTTTATCCAGCCTTCACATGCATTGAAGATTTGTATTTTGTTTTGTCGCTTACACAATGTAGTATTCTCCAAAACAGGGAAATCTAAACACAGAGGTAATCACTGTCTTGTCTAACACAGTGACAAAAAAAACAGCAGACAGGGAAAAATCCCCGGAAAAAAAAAAAAAAAAAACAAAAACAGCAGACAGGAAAAAATCCTTTGCAGCAAGGTTTAGTGTAATCACCTGAGGTAAAGTATGCTGCCTCATACTTGGTACTGGCTTCTGCAGAAAAACACAGATATTTATTTTTTAAGGCAAGACCCTAAATCCTAAGAATGATTCCCTTCTACTGTCAAAAAACCTACCCAAAACCAAACAAAAACACTCCCACACAACGCTTTCCCCAATAAAAACCAGACTAGCAGGGAAGCAGAGAAATACAAAAGAAAAGTTGCAAAAAGGCGACAGCAATGAGAAAGAGGCCAAAAAGCAATGTGATAAATTTTGTACTACCTCATATACTTCCCAATGAATTTCATACTATTCAGTGTTAAAAGATTTGATAGTTTAACATCTAAGTGGGTAAAGGATTATAATGTCTTTTTATTTTTAAAGGAAGACAGGTACTTGTATGCAACCATTACGTGGCCAGAACTTTAAAAGTCTCACAACGAAATGAGTTTGAAAGGTGCACCGGAGTTTCTAGATTCAGTATGACAAAATAGTATGTTATATAAACCCTAGAATTAATTCACACCTCAAACCACTGATACAAAGTTCACTTAACGGTAATACTGTCCAGATGTTAAACTGCACTTCCCATTATTAGATACAGTGCACTTCACTACAGAGCCTGATTTTAAAAACAGGCATTAAAAAAAAAAGAGAAAACAACAGCCTTGTGTCATCTACTAGAGACAGAACAGCTATTCCAAGTTCTATTTTACTGTCCTAGCTACATAAAATACTACTTTTCACTGCTTTAAATTTATATTTTAAGACAAATTCCTCAAGTCCTGAATATCTGAAGATTATAAGGTAACAAAAATAAACATCAAGATGTTCTCATTTCAAAATGTTCAAACTATTTTTTCCATTAAGGATATCTGCAGTAACGTCAAATGTGACGAATCCCAGATCACTTCTTTCTCGAGGTCCAGTGAAATCTTCTACATTTTTTCTAAGACAAAACAAATCACAAGATTATCCTTTCTCATTATTTCTTTCATGCATTACATAAATTATTATTATTATTACATATTGCCCTCACCTGTTTCTTGTACTTTCTTTTAAATAATTTTCAACATTTCAAAATAAAATCTTCCTTCCAGAAATTACGGAGCCCCAGTTTTGAATGGCAGGCCTTGCCACCACATTAGTCTAAGTTATACAAATAACCTATAGACTTTTTCCTGTTAACAAAATCCTGTATCCATCTGTACCTAAACAGCACTACATTTCATTTTAGCAAAATATGTGTTAGCCATCCCCAAATCTATAAAGCTGATTGGAACACTGGCAGCATAGCTGTCCGCTGGCAACCATTTTCAATATTATTTCTCAACTTTCCATAAAAAAAAGTCTCTAGTGCTCAGTCTCATAGAAGACATAGAGTTTATGTTTGTAGTTCACACAACGTATAAGATTTCTTCCTGGAATGTAGTTAAGTATCAGTATAAGGAAAATGCTTATTTTCATCTATATTATGGGAAATCATATTGTTTTGGAAGACTTTATTACAAAGCCACATTTGGAGGAATATCTGGTATTGCCACACTAAACCACATTAGAAAAAGAAACTGGAAAGTAACAGAGACACAGCAGAGTCATCTCTAAGCAGCTGGAGAAAAAGGTTATCAGGAATAGCCAACATGGATTCGCCAAGGAGAAGTCATGCTTGACCAATCTGCTAGCCTTCTATAACGGCATGACTGGCTGGGTAGATGAGGGGAGAGCAGCGGACATTGTCCACCTTGACTTCAGCAAGGCTTTTGACACTGTGTCCCATAACACCCTCATAGCTAAGGTCAGGAAGCGTGGGCTAGATGAGTGGACAGTGAGGAGGTGGATTGAGAACTGCCTGAATGGCAGAGCCCAAAAGGTCGTGCTCAGCAGTGCAGAGTCCAGTTGGAG